CATTCGCCTTTCCTGGATGATAATTCAAACTGAAATCATAATCCTTTAGCAATTCCAACCATCTTCGTTGCCTCATATTCAGCTCTTTCTAATCAAACAAATACTTCAACTCTGACCATTCAAACGCAGACATCCTATATGGTGCCATAGACACAGGTCTGCTACCAGGTACAAGATCAATTGCAAATTCAACTTCCCTCTCTGGCGGTACATCAGGAATCTCATCAGGGAAAACTTCAGGAAATTCACACACCACCTGCAATTCCTCAATTATAGCTTGAGTCTCTACAGATAGTGACGCTATCAACGAAAACATATGTACTTCCTCTTGCATCAACTTCCTCAACTGCCTAGCAGACAACAGACCATCTTCTTCTTCTTCAGGAGTAGAAAACTTCACAGACTTGTCATAACAGTTAATATGAACACAATTATGCTCTAACCAGTTCATACCCAAAATCACATCCAAACCTCTTAACGGCAAACAAACCAAATTAACAACAAAGTCTCTGTCGAAGATCGACAAGGGGAACTTAGTACACACAAAAGAAGTAGTCACCGACCCCTTGGCTGGAGTATCATTGACCATTTCTCCATCCAAAGAAGACAACACAAGACCCAATCTTTCAACACAATCAGCAGCAATAAAACAATGCGTAGCACCAGTATCAATAATAGTGATTAAAGGAGTACTATTAATGAAACATGTACCTCTAATAAGTCCGTCCTCAGCAGTTGTCTGATCCTTAACCAAAGCAAACACTTTACCACTTGACCGAGCCCTCTTCGGTTTCGGACACTGGCTACCAATGTGCCCTTCTTCTTTACAATTGAAACAAGCCACACTCTTGTGCTCACACTCAGATACAACATGTCCGTTCTTGCCACAACGAAAACACCTCTTCACTTCAGTAGTGCACACATTACTCTTGTGTCCAGGTTTCCCACACTTAAAGCAAATCACACCAGCAGGAGCATATCCCCCACTAATCCTCTGTCCATGAATAAATCTCTGTTTACCCTTACCAGTTGGGGCATCATAAGGCTTACCACGATGCTGTAGGTGCTTACCCCACTTCTCACTGATAATCTTGTAATGAGCATTATTGTCTTCCTCATAAATCATGCACCTATCAACCAAATCAGCAAAGACACGAATTTTCTGATATCCAACTGCTTTCTTAATCTCCGGGCGCAACCCATTCTCAAATTTAATACACTTTGAAAATTCAGCATTTTCCTCAGCGTAATATGGATAAATCTTGGCCAACTCAGTAAACTTGGCAGCATACTCAATAACAGACATATTTCCTTGCTTCAACTCAAGCAACTCAATTTCCTTCTTACCACGGACATCTTCAGGAAAATACTTTCTCAAAAAATCCCTACGGAACACAGCCCAAGTGACATTCTCACCTGCAACTTCCAATTTCTGGCAGGTCTCTAGCCACCAGTCATCAGCCTCGACTGCTAGCATATGAGTCCCATAACGAACCTTTTACGCCGGAGTGCAATCCATCACACGAAAGATCCTCTAAATCTCTTTCAACCATTCCAATGCTCCGTTAGGGTCATACTTTCCCTTGAACGTAGGTGGATTTTCTCTCTGGAAGGTCGCCAAACTACGAGATCCAGCATTCCCGTCAGTATTCGGCTGATTTTCCATCGCATGAGCCATTGCTTCTAAAGCAGCAGCAAGAGCAGCATCATTCCTTCCAGCCATCTCAACTTATCACTACAACATAAACAACGATTAGAACTCAAATAACAATACTCAATTGTTAGACAACTACGACTCGACGACAAGGTCAGACCAACCTTTTGCTCTGATACCAACTTTGTAACACCCCAATTCTATCGCAAGCAATTATGCAAAATAGATCAGAGTTATAAAATTTCAATCATACAAATGAATCGGGACGTCACAAATTCTCTAACAAAATTCATTGCATTCATCATGGATATATAACACTTTTTTAAACATCGGATGAACCGTCAACAAAACATCTTTAACCAAATAAGTCAACATCTATGCAGCGGAATTCTTAAATACATCTCTAACAAAAACAACAACTTCTAAACATCTCATATTTAATGATAATCAAATTAAAATTCAACAACTGAAAATCATCAATTAAAACAGCAAGCGTTCATCCCCCCGAGTGTTACATATCAGAGCAATGACACCGACTCAAACTATTGAAGGTATACAACCTTCACTCTCGATTACCTGCACGTTACCAACATAAGGGCAACATTCAAACAGAAGGGGTGAGATATCTAACAATATAATAAAGCGCATGATAATTAATATATTAAATTAGATCAACAACATCACCACTTCTCATCTCATAATCAACAACAATCTCAATAATATTATACATTCATCCACATCAAAATACACTTCTTTATGAAATCATATAACGCGACTCAATACTATGCAAATGCATGTGGTACCATTGGAGCAAAACTCCCATCTCAAAAATTTGCCAATTAATAGAGGCATCAACAAGGCATAGCCTACATCTCAAAATTTGCCAATCCAGGCCATCTCAACGAGCATAAGCTCCATCTAAAAAATGAAATGTATGCGACACCACCATGAATGTAATGATAACACCCAAGTTAACAACATCTCAAATCATTCCAAAACATCTCAAATTATCATCTCAAAACATCTCAAATTATCATCTCAAAACAACATCTCAAATTATCATCTCAAAACATCTCAAATTATCATCTCAAAATAACATCTCAAAATAACATCTCAAAATAATCAAAATAATTCATCAAACGTTATTTATTTATAAATCATCAAACATCATTTATTTATTAATAACTTCTCATTTATAACTCAGCAGTATTTTAATTTCCACAGTAAATCAACACTGTCATTCTGTAACTCTAAAGTCAAGACCGTCACTATCCTACTGTTATAGCTCAAACAGCAGCTTCTAGCATCTAACGTTCATCGTTCTGCATAAAACAATGCAAAAGGCCATCCAACTTCTGACCATGCAACCTCTAATCAACGCTATTTCTAAATACACAACTTCTGACTAATGCAACCTCTGATCAAATGCAACTTCTGATCATTACAATCCTCTAACTACCCAACCTCTAACCAGATACAAATTCTGATCATCACATCTTCTGGCTAACCCCATCTTCTGACCAGGTACAACTTCTGATCATCACATCTTCTGACTAATGCCATCTTCTGACCAGGTACAACTTCTGATCATTACATCTTCTGACTAATGCCATCTTCTGACCAGATATAACTTATGATCAACCACATCTTCTGGCTAGTACAACTCCTACTACTAGAACCTCTATGCTTTAATAGTGCAACGCAATTTCTATCTAACATACATATAACATCATAACTTCTAACTTGCACTAATCTAACGCAACTCTAGTCAACATACTTCTAATGTCAGAACTGCTACTTTTCATTCAATCCTACTATTTTGATTCTTTGCCTGTTATTAACCTAATTAGGAACAGTACGGCCAATGCTATTCCCTAATTAATTCATCGTTCTAACACAACAACTTCTGATGTTTCTCACGCCTAATTCTGTGTTTTTCTTCCCTGCATAATTCTGCGCTTTTATTACTGCTATATTCAACGTTTCCCATTACTGCAATATTCTACTTTTCTTCCTTGCATCTCACTATGGGATTCACGCTTAAAGCCCTAAAACTTAATATATTCATGACAATTCATCACCATAATTACCCTATAATCTTACAACAATTAAACAACATCAAGACATCATTATTCATCCAAAATTCATTGATTCTCATCACACAACAATCATATATTTTCAATTCAAGAACAAGACAACAATCACCTCTAATCCCACATACCAATCATCATAAACCCAATTATAGAGTCAGAACCCCATCCTTACCTTGGATTGAAGGTCGCTTTGCAATTTCTGGGTTGAATCACTAGTGCAGAAATGACTTTTTACATCGGGTAAAATTGACTTTTTACATCGGTTTTGGATCCGATGTAAAGTCAGGTGATATAGTAAATCAGGGACTTTTTACATCGGTTCTGGGACCGATGTAAAAAGTCCCTTTTTTACATCGGTTATAATATCAGAACCGATGTAATAACCTGTTATTATGCACAGTTTTTAAAAAATTGATCCAGTTTTTTACATCGGTTGGAAGTAATACCCGATGTAAAAAGTTCCCAGTAACGCGACTTTTTACATCGGGTATTACTTCCAACCGATGTAAAAAGTCCCTTTTTGAAAGTTTTTACATCAGTTTTACTAATAACCGATGTAAAATGTATGAAATTTTTTTGGAATAGATTATTTATTTCCTGGGTTTCCCTATACAAATATAATTTGTACCCATTTTTTCATATTTTTCCAATATCAAACAGACTATATTTATGTCGCTATATAGATTTCATAGCTTTCCAACATCACATATATCACATTTAGGACGATGTTTTCATATTTTTCACAACAAACTTACAAATTGAACAATTGTATTGCAAACTTGTATTGTATTACAACATACAAACTTACAATTACAAATTCTTCACAAAATATAAAACAATATTCAACTATTTAAAAGTCTTTTTCAAAACTTACAATTACATAATATTCACAAAATATACATATACTAAAATATTCAACTATTTCTAAGTTTCCAAACTTGAATTACCAATATAAAATCTTCGGTAGACAACACCAAAATCATATTGCCTGACAATAAATAATAACAATTAACATCAGCAAAAAAATCAAGAAACTCAACACATGAGCAACACATGAGAGATATAACATATTAATAGAGATTGACTTTAATAAAACAATAAAATTTACTTACGTGCACCAAATAATGTGTTGCTTTTTGAGGAGTAGGAGCATTTTCAGACACATCTTTTACTTCCTTCCATATATCCAATGCCATATTCATAGTCTCTCGAACAACTTTGACCTGCAATAATCAAACACAGAACTGGTAAATTTAAAACCCAACTGGTTCATCCCCAGGTGGGGCATCCACAGTAGCCTGAAAAGATCATGGAATTTAAAACATGCTTCAGCAGAAAAAACCATATTGTTCCCGAATAGATCACGTTTTTAGGATGAAAAAACAAGGAATTACCTTGTACCATGTCAGTGCCTGGCCTTTTGGTGCTTCTGAAGTAGATGTCCATTTCGTATTATTCAACCCATCTACCAGGTGTAACCTTTGATGTTCTCCTTGTACTCCAATCTGAGAAAGGAAGAAACACTTGATCAAAGGACGAAGGTCGACAAAAGTCATTGTTCACATCTTATATTACAGTCAATTGTCTCTAAAAGATTGAGAAGGTAATAGGAGATCCAAATTTAAATCAATTTTAAGATGATAATGCAAGAGGAAAAGTACCTTGTAAGTCCACGCATTAGACGACAAGTCTATCGTCTTGTTGTTAAGTCCATTAATCTTTACAGTTGTTACTCCCGCCCCTACGAACTCGTAAAATGGTCCAGTTGTTACTTGAAAAATGTTTTAAACCTTCCTCAAGTGCTTTTAGCCTCACTTTTAGTTTTTCCTGAAGTAAACACCAAATAACATGTTGAAAGTTGATCAAGATGTTTGTTTACATAAAAGACTAATATGTCAGATATATATACCTTCTGTTGTGACTCCTCCTTAGCTCTTCTCTCTGATATAGCTAGCTTATCTTTCAACCGTTGCATCTCTGCCTACACGAGCAAAGACATAATGGATCAGAGAAATTTCATTTAGGATTTGTTTGGATTGACTTATTTAAACTTATCTATTAACATAAACACTTGTGAGATTGTTGGGAAGAATTTATAGAAATTCATATATACCTGCATAATTCTTTTCTCTTCTTTCCATTGCCTAAGAGGCATGACCTTATGACTTTCATCCTTCCACTCATTAGTCATGACATTTGCAATCCTATTAGCCGAAACTTTTACTCTTGCTAGTTCCCTATCCAGTGTTCTTTTCTCATCCTAAAAATTTATATGCAAAATCAAGTTACCACATAAGATCAACCAAATACACAGTCAATATATCCAACATTAAGTTCAGAAGAATGCTAATTACTTGCAATTCGGAAATCTGTCTTTGGTAATCGCGAACAATGTTAGCCGTTGCGCCCGTAGCAATGAAACTACTATCTATTGGAACATAATCTTCATTCTTTTGATTTGCATGTACCCTTCTAAGTGTTGCTTCTGCTGCATATTGTGCAGCCAATGCTTCTTTCTTTTCATCTCTCAGTTTCTTAATTTCTAGATTCTGCATAGCAATAAAATTTGAAAATAAAAATAAAAAGCATTTTAGGTTCTACCAACGTTGAATATAGCTTCTACTTCAAAGAAATAGTTAATATACCAAAATCAATGCACCTTTTGCTTAAGATGATCTTCTGTAACTCTAAATCTCTCATCAAGTTTACTAGCTTCATTTCTCAACTGGAATTGGCGAAAGAGGATTATAGCCGATATTAGTACCTCTATCGGATACTATGATTTTAAAGTGTAGTTCCAGTTGCGTACCAAAATATAGAACAATATTGAATAGTAAAAAAATCCATATTTTCTAAAGTACCTGTTCCATGGCCTTATCCTTGAGTGATTCAGTTGCCTTGAATACTTTGATTTCATTCTGGCAAGTTATTAGCTCCTTAACTTTTTCTGTAACAATGATTACACTAAGTCAATGAATGAAAACAAAAGCATGTTAATATGACAGCATATATCTACTTTGAAAATAGTACCCTTTATGTATATTACATTATACAAATGAGCCTTTCAAGAAAGAAGGAAGGGAATATTATCAAATATTTATGGAGAGATGTTTGTGAATGAATCTAATTTTAATTCTAAGTTCTTCATAACAATCATACAGATATATGAACATAGTGAAATAGAAAAAGTTCCCATATTTCCACCAAAAGAAAACAAAAGCCAGAAAAAGTCTCAAACTAAAGCATTTTAAAATTATTAAAATCAACACAATTAAGTTCCAATATTATTGTGTTCTTAACCATTTTCTATCCTGAGACAAACCTTGTTGTATGCCACAGGTAATCAGTGGTATCTTTGTGAAACCATTTTCAGAATCACAAACACAGTGTGAAAATGGTTTTCTATCCTGAGACAAACCATTTTCAGAATCAATTCCCTTCAATTTTTTTACCCCATAATCAAACACAGTGTAAATTACCTTATCAAACCGTTTATTCTGCAACGAATCCATACACAAAACTTTATGCTGCGATGCCAAATCTTTCTCCATTGAAGCTACTTTCCCCAACGCTTCCGCACAGGCTTTTCTCACATTCCAATCCTCACTGCCGAGAAACTCAACAATGCACGGAACCAACCAACTCATTACTCCACGACTCGAAGCACCACCAACGGAAACCACACTCCCGATTAGCACCAACAACGGCGCCTTCGCCTTACACGAGTCAGTCTTCAGAAGCTTCCCTAGCCTCGGAAGCGTAATCCTCCGGAGCGACTCAACGTCCGGCACCGGCGCTGCATCAATAGCCGCCGGAAGGCACAGCGAAGCGCCGATCTGCACATTCACGTCCTGCTCCAGCGTTAACGCGTCCATAAACGGCCTCAGGAACGCAACGGTGAACGAAGGATGAGTGATGCGCGACGACATCTCAGCAACAGCGTCGACGCAAGCGGATCGTACAACCGAGTCGGGATCCCTCAACCGACGGAGAACAGTAGCAATCATCTTTGAGATAAAAGGAGACATCGCGTCACCATGGAAACGCGATAGAAGGCTCAAAAGGTTAACACATTGTTTCCGAACCGGAGATTTAGAAGACGAATCGGTGTTATGAATGCATGAGAGAAAAGATGAGAACGAGTCATTATTTAGGGTTCTAGCGATGGATTCCCACCGATTTAATAGGTTGTTTTTTTTTAAATACTTCTCAGGCTATTACATCGGTGGAAACTTCCACCGATTTAATAGGTTGTTTTTTTTTTTAAATACTTGTTAGGCTATTACATCGGTGGAAACTCCAACCGATGTAATAGGTTGCTTTTTTTTTTAAATACGTGTTGGGCTATTACATCGGTGGAGAGTCCGAACCGATGTAATAGCTTACCTTTTTTTTTTTTTAACCCACGTTTTTATGATTTATCAATATATTTTATATGTTAATTCAAGCACATTTTTTACATCGGTTTTTATTTAAACCGATGTAATATATTGCTTATATTTTTTTTAACTTTTTTGTCACCTTGTTTCTTATTTACAAAAATGCCACCGTGTTTTTTTCTGGAAATCTTTTACATCGGTGGATGAGATTGCCCGATGTAATAGGTGACGAAAAATTTTTTTCCCTTATTTTTTATATCATTGGAAATAAATACCTGATGTAAAAAGTTTGTTAACTGTATTTTTTACATCACCTATTTTGATACCCGATGTAAAAACCTTTTCTCAAATGTCTTTTTTTTAGTAGTGAATCTTCGTTCTTGCCGTTTTCCACTTTCTCTAGCAGCTTGCACGTTCTCTTCCAAATCCTTATTCTTTCTACTGCTTCTTTCTTTCTATTCCTTCTAACAAATAATAAAATAACCCTATTATTCTATTATTCCTTATTGGGCTTAAAACCAACACACCCCTTATTACTTCTATTCTTCCAAAATAAGCCCACATTAAATAATATTACACTCTTAATATTATTTCACCATATAATATTATATCTCTAATATTATTCTCCACTTAATAAAATAAATCCAATTAATTATAACACATCTTCATAAATATTCCAAAAATAATTTAATTAAATAATTAATTAAATTATGGGCGTTACATAAGTCTTCTTGACTTTAACCCTTCATTTCAAGCATCATTAATGTTTCATTTTTGAAGATAAAATGTAGATATCATTGCCTTAAAGCTAACCATATGCTTGCTTTTCATTTTCACTAACCATGTGTTGAGAACTAACCCATGTGTGCAGCAGAATAATGATAAAGTGAAAAAACTGCAGGATGAGTCGATGCATACCTACACGAGTCGACACATCTTAGTGGAAAAACAAGTTATGAGTCGACACAAAGCCTTATGTGTCGACACATACTGCTATACAGGCCCAAAACAGAAGGAAATAAGGTTGTATGAGTTGACACAAAGCACGTATGAGTCGACACATGCAGGGTATGAGTCGACACATACCATTATGCATCAACTCATACTGATTTGATTTGGCAATTCAGGGGCAAGGAAAGGTTATGTGTCAATGCAAAATAGCACGTGTCGACACATAATGTTCAAAAATGAATTTTTCTTTCCTTTTCCTTTGTTTTTACATGTTTCACATATTTTCTTCATGGCTATTCAATATGGTTGTAATATTTAAGCTCTTATCCATCCCCGTTTATAAATTGTACCCCCATCCCTTTAAATGATGTAATAGCATAGGACTTTATTTTCGGTAATTTACCGCTTTCAAATACAAATGCTAGTAACTAGGGTGTGTATGGCGAGATAAAAGTCAATCTTAGACAATCCTAATCCAAGACAAAACAATGCATGAAAAACAACACAATTTTCACACAAGCACCTCTAGGGTAAGCTCGCTCGTTGCCTCGGAAAATAGTCTTGTCCCTTGAATATGGGTGCATTAGCAAAGACCCTCGATAAAAAATATCGTAGTCCCTCGATGATTCTTCGATGTTGCCTTCGATAAAATGATCTTAGTCCCTACGAAAATTGCTAAAGCGTCTCATAAGTTGCTTTCAATGACTATACAACAAACTACTCCCGTCCCTTCACTTCCAAAGATAAGGCTTCTTACCAATCAAATGGTAAGATAGCAATGTCAAATGAGGAGGAAATGAACAAAAGACTTTTTGAGTAGGTAGAACGTTCTTAGTTGCTTGATCATGATCCATCTTCAAAATAAACATATTTTCAAACACACCAAATACTTTCAAAACATGAAATATTTTCAAAAATTCCAACACTTTGTATGCATTCTTATAGAGACGAGAATCATTACAAAGTTTGCCTATACGAAGGCTCTTTTCCAAAATACTTTCAAAATCCACCACAAACACATTTCAAACAAAGCAATTCCAAAAGTGATCTATCAAGCAACTAAGAGCCCGTAGATAACTACAGATGAAAAGGGTGCTAACACCTTCACTTTTCATAACCTACCTCACGAACTCAAGAAAATATCTCAAAAGGTCTTTCCTTTTCTTTTCACCTTTTCCTTTATTGGATAAAAAAAAGTCGGTGGCGACTCTTGCTATCTGCAACAATTGCGATAAAACGCAAAACACCCAAGTCAGTTCTCCCACCGTATTACAAAACTGGCGACTCTGCTGGGGAGGAACTTAAAAGTGGGGTTACCTTAGAGCTAGATCACATTTATTTGCTTTCATTGTTTAATTTGTTTGTTTTACATTTGTGGGTCCTTGTTTGGGTTTGTATTGATCCTCTATCCGGATCTGGGAACATCATTAGGTAAGTAGCAATAGATTGTAGAGACTGTGCGGGATATACCGACATGGTTGAAGCGATATATATGTTAGTGTGACACATTTGTTGGTACCGGTAGCCCTTGAGTTTAGTCAAGGAGAATACGGGGCCACTGTGTGGTGTGATAAAGCACTAACTGACCTTAGAACCTTTAATTGAAAAACTTGGCCATTAGGAAGTAGTGAGATAGTCGGCTTTGGTGCAGTTCAAAGTTGGTTGATACTCTATGCTATGCTCATTGAGATCGAACTTTCGGGATAACTCGATCGCCAATAAAGAGGCTTGGGCTGAAACAATACCCGATGAAGAAAGATCAGTGATATTGAGATTCCCTAGAACCCGATTACTTTTTAGGATAGGTTGAACCAACTAAACTTCAAGAGGGTACTTACCTACAAACCCCATGCAAGCCTAAACCTAAGGACTTGTTTGCTTTGCTTGTATATGCTTACTTGTACATAAACATCATGACATCATACCATAGCATTTTCAATAACCATTTCAAGGGTCTCAAGGGCCTGTGATGTAGGGTTATACTGAACCAGACGTCTATCAAGGGGCAAGAGGATTTATTTTCCTCTAACCAAACACTCTCAAAGACCAAAATGCGATAACTTGAGTCAAGGGCTATGACCCACTTGACACAGTGAGCTTGATTCCCATAGGAGGACATTCAACAATACGAAGTTCTCCAATCAAAGTTGTGATCAAAGTTCAACTTCTAACATCTTCTTGTGTTTACCTCGCGACATCCTTGAAAACATTGCATCCACATACTATGCATCATATCATGACAAGTTTTCCCCATACAGGTTTTCTCATCTGCTTACTGTTTATTTCAGTAGAGATGGCTCTAGAACAAACTGTCCAGGATCTTCAGACCAAGAATGATCAGCTTCAAGATTTGTTCCTGAATCTATCCAAGGGGAAAAAAGAAGTGAAGGAACTCCTCATTGATAGCATCACCAAGAAGGATCCTGAAGACGACAAGCATGGCCAGTTGGAACGGTTACAAACTGAGATAGTAACAATGAAAATCCAAATGATGGGACAAATGGTGGGTCAGATGGCTCTTATCCAAAACTTAGCTCGGG